CCACAGATGCCTGCACATTTATCTCAGCTGTTTCAACAGGTCTTGCCTGAATACCAAAATCTAGTGTGTCAACAGATGCCTGCACTTTCACATCAGTTGTTTCAAAAGATCTGGCTTGAATACCAACGTCCAGCATGTCAGCAGATGCTTGAACATTAACATTTGCTGTCTTTGGTCGAATCTGGAATTCAATAGACAAAATTCTTCTATGTTATCAGATGTAAAAGTTAAAAAGGGAAAAAAAAGAAGGAAAAGAGAAGAAAACATCTTTAGCAACAAACAAAAAGAAAATCAATTCAGAGTGGAGTAAGCAAGTATGATAGGATCAGTAAACCATTCAAGAGCACATTTTTGATAAGGATTTATTGTAATATATTCCAACATTGTTTTTTCGAAATGGTTTTGTATTGAGAGATTTGTAAAATCAAACTTACTTCATTCATAACCAGCTGTTGGATCCAGTTTGGGATTCCTGTAATATCTTTACCAACTCCTAATTTTGCCAAACAGTCTTCTCTGTATTTTTGTTGTAACAGTTGATGGAATAAAGCATCTTCGTTTTTTGAAATGCATTTCCATCTAGCACCATCGCATACACTAAAAAGACCTGTGGCACATTGAACGTATATTTCAACATTGTCCCGTAAATTTCCATGTGGGAAGCATGTAGCAAGGTCGTCCAAAATGCTGTACTGTTTTGGCTGTTAAAATAAAAGCGATGCAATCATAGGCGACTTATTCGCTATAACTGACCACATTTTGCTTATTACAGCATTGTTTCTGTTACCGCACTTCAACTCCATCATCTGACCTTTACCATTTCAAAAAGTTACTCACACATGTTCATCATTAAGTAGGCTAATTGCTCGTAACTGCATAACTGGAAATCAATTCTGAAAACTTGATTTTGATACAAGATAGTCCAGATTAATATAAACCTACCTTATTTTTAAGGCAATTAAAGTCATTTGGGTACAAAGTTGTTTTCCTGTGATAACTTGAACTGTTACCAGGCACAACCAATCCTACTTCTTTTCCAAAAAATCTTTTAGCACGCTTAAAATCCATTTTGTTTCTTCACTGTAAAATATCGCTGTTCGCCAGTTCGTATAACACGCAACTATGCTGTTGCTATGCCACACACTTGTATTTTAGCGCCACAACAACTTCGTCATGATCAGCAATATGATTGAATTACAAAGAAAAGATAATAAGTGTCTATTTGACTCTGATTTTGTACGGCGTTCAAACACTCATGCATCCGCGGAAAATAGTTCCAACTTTATTTAGTAAAAACCCGATTTTAGCAATTCCTGTAATATTTGCCTTTAAAGGTCACGTTTTATACCATTTAAAACCGAATAACACCAAAATTAGCTGATATGTTTATTGTTTTGTTATGTTTTGACAGTTTATTGATGTCTGGGTTACCTGTCGTAGTTTTGCTACATTCCGATAGGTTTCGCTGTGAAAGCATCGTATCAAGCGATGACCCACATAGCTAAGACCACACAATATACAAGAAAAGAAACAACCCGTTGTGCTCGGTTGTAAACGACCAGGACCAGTATCGCGCTCCAATTACAAAGGAAATACAAATGAATCAGCTTTTAGAAGTAATGCTAACAGGGGCGTAGCTAGCCCAGCAGAAATGCGTAAAGCCCATGCGAGGGGTCTTTGGGCCGCCTGGTGGGGGACAGAAAATGAATTTCATGATTTCAAAGATGTTTTGAATCGTTTTCTGAGACAATTTTTATTTTTTTATCGAACATTAAACTTCAACCCCTGACTAAATAAAAGATTTTTTTTTTGTTTGAAAAAACTTGTCGATCGACGTCTGTAATCCAGAAGCCTTCTTCATTATGAAAATTTGCACATTAACAACATTGTAATAGGAAACGTTGAAATGATAGTTAGAAGCCGAATAGAATGACGTGTATAACGTTCCGGAAAGCAATGCCTAGTTATTCAACAATTTTCTATTTATATTTTTTGATTTATCAAAAACATTAGATATTTATTTTCAACCTTAGTTTTGTAATTTTGTTCGACACACTCTATGCACGGATTTTTTTTTTATGTGTAAGCCTAGGCTTTTCTTTCTATGGAAGCTACGCCCCTGGCTAAGGATCTGAATTCTTAAGCCAAACATAGCGGAAAGTAGTCCAAATCGATTTAGTAATATAATTGAATATTTATAATGATTTCACTAATTCGAATTATTGATATAACATTTTCAAGATCGTGAAATACTAAAATCGCATTTCAGTAAGTCCGATCTAGATATAGCCTTCCCAGCAAACCCAAGTTGCTTAAGTTTATAGTCTGATGCTTGAACAGACATCTCATGATCAGACTATCTAGATCTGTTATAAACTGCAGCGGGGAGAAGAGGAACTCGAGGTGTTAAAATGTTGTTGTTTTAGACTTTAGAACTTTTGTTCGGCTTAGTTTGAAAAAGATAACGCAAATTAATAAAAACCTAAACATTTACACTTGGTGACTCCAGGCCTGTTCCCTTTATCACGATTTTCGCGCCAGAAGTTGTCAGCTGACGGACAAACTCGTAACACATGGTTTTCAATTTATGCAGGTTGATAAAAATCATGGGGAAGTTTTACTGTCTTCCTAGTGATGTCATGGAGAAATATTCTATTTCTTTGTGCGATGTGAAGCTGGAAGTGTTTGATGTTCGTTAGTTTGCCTGTTATATGCGTTGTTGTATGCGTTGTTCTCATTTGAGAACGTGGCATTATTACTTGAATTGACCAAGATGTGCATGGCTGGTGTCGTCGATGAAGCAGAGCACGCTTACTCTTAATACTATTTCAGGAGTATCCGTGTAAATCTTTCTTTTGTTCATATTTTGCTCTAGTTTTACTGAATTTGGGTTTGGATTATGATTACGTTGGTATTTACTTGCTAAGATAAATCTATAATAATTGTAACTCAGTACTTCGATTTATTTGGGAGTTAACTACCGCACGCTAAGACAACTTAATAGTATAGATATACAGGCGCCTCAGATTACATATTGTTTAAGAAATAATAGTTATAATTGGATATTAGATAAACGTAGGAAAAACTTTTAAATCCGGTAGGAAAGGGACCTTTTCCTACATAATTTCATTTAAGCACATGTCTTTTATTAATAACGAAACTATCGGTTTCTTATGCGATGATAGAACTAAAATTTCAACAACTTCAAATGAAACCAGTAATATAATTTAGCTTAAACAATATTTTATTCAGTATTCAACAAGTTAAACATACATATGATAAACATGGAGTAGGAAAGCAAGCTTTGAACTGATATGAATTCCTTTCCCACAGGAGTAGGATTTGCCAAATGCTAATCCCAACATTGACAATTCACAAATGAAACATCCATTCTTTCTGAATAGCGATTAATATTTGATCATAGAATTCTTACAGTCACGAAGATCCAGAATAAACCTGTACAATGACACCGCATCAGTATATGCATTTACCTACCTGAGAACGGATTAATCAACCATATTTGATTGAATGACTACGCCCAGATTACACTAATTGAATCAGAATCGAAGGCTTATTTCAAGTGGTAGCCATCAGGACATTGTCGATGTGTAAAGTATTATGTTTTGATAATATCATTCTACAATATTAATACCGAAGTGGTACTGGAGCTGAATATTAAATACCAGGAAGAACAGAAGGAAGCTACACCACTGTAATTGAACACTATAATCAATACGATTAATCACTGTTACAATATATTGATATTTCTCTGTCATAAACTAATAAATTAGGAAGAAAACACGAATTATTTATATGTTTTTAACTGACGAAGCCACTCGTGAAACTTTGCCGGGTTTCTTTGGGACGGAGAAGGATTATTTAAATGGAAATAAATAACCTTTTTTCCAACTCGGTTTCGACGTCTGTGCTTTTAATCTGTACACTTGCACTTGAAGCGATTCATCCGCAATCATCACGTGATGCAGGTGGTCGTGTAAATCATCTTATCGAATTGGCGCGCAAAGGTAGGAACCTCTCTTCCAATAGTAACGTATCAGTTATACATCACATCAAATAGAGCTAAACAATAAGTGGTGTCCTACAGCAACACTATGGTAGAATTCTAACGCACAATGGCAGCGAACATAATAGCAATGTTGGATTGTGAACGGGATATATTTGAATGGAAGAGGTCGACATGACAGTAAAGAAAATGTGCCGATCATCTGTAACAGTATTTATCTGTTGTTTCACGGAGATTTAGAATCTGATCTTCAGGACTAACTCAATTTGGTATACCTCTCCTGGCATCAAATCGTGATCAAAGAAATGCTATTAACTTGTGATCAACACAATGGCAATTCCATTTAGTGTTTTTCAAAGACTTCAAACAAGAGAAAACAGCAACTGACTGAAGCTCAGTGGTGTTTGACTTGCTCTCTCACCTCAGCGTCGAATGGTTAACTAATACGCTACTGTTCGAAAATAACGATAAAAAGTGTAACGGTGAATGTCGGATGTGTATGACAACGTATTGCCTCGCTATGTCTTGTACTGTTCTGTAAATAATAACGAAACTATTCTGACAAATGTTAAGAGTGTAACGTTAAACAACATTGAGTATCATGGTAAACGTACGTATTTCCAAGTTGTTAGCCGCGGAAGTTGGTTTTTAAGAAAATCACCAATCACATTATGCTTAATTTCTTACGTATACAACAGTAAGCTTTCGTAATAGATTCCTTCGCAAGCTAATAATGAAAGTTTCAGAGGTAAGAGCTGGATGATGTTATACTCTACTTCTGACGGTTGAAAGACAAACATTTGATATATTCTTACAGATTCTTAAGATCTCTTAAGATCATGTTAATCTATTTCATGTTTAACGCTAGTTGTCTCACGATCACAATCGCATGACATTCAATCTTTCGAGGACTGAATTCCATTTCATTAAACAATACCTGTTGTGTGAATAAGGTTCCAGAATTAAGATTTTAGACATGGGCTGCACATTAACAGCTACTAAATCGTCGCTGGTTGAAAACGCCGGACAGAGGCAGAAAGAGAGATTCAAGATCAGTAAGCATAATTTGATGGCTGATGATATGAACATGGATGACATTAGCAAGAAAATGTCAGAGAGTGAAGTGCTTCTCGAAAAACAGCTGGACTTAAACAAGCGACAGAAGTTTCTGATATTGAAATCTTGGAAAGGTATTTCTAGGGATATCAAAACTACAGCCGTGAACATGTTTTCAAGGTAACTATGGTTTTAAATGTTCATTATTACATATTCAATGTTTCCAAATTAGTTTTTATGTCTCATTTATTTAATAAAATGTAACATATAATCAATACCAGACAGAAAAGACAATGCCATGAAGTAACAGCATTGAAATCAACTAGGTACCGGAACCATAAAGTCTTATGAAACTTGACATAGTTGCTGATAATAAGCTACTTGTAGTCGATGTTCATTGTGGTTAGTATAATTTCTTTGGAAAACGAGGATGACTTTAGTCACAGCGGAAGTGGCCCAGCATCCAGACATGCACCACTACGACACAGCAAGTGTTTTGTCTATCGTGCGAAACTATATATAAGCAAAAGTTAAATGAATGTAAGACATATATAAGAACTTAATTTAAAAACAAAAAAGGTTAATTTCAACACTTGTAAACCGGAATATGGGAATATGTAGCCAAAGAATCAATTTCCGTATGTCTACGCTAAATAAAACAAGTACTGATGAGGACTTTTTAAATGAATAAGATGTTAGAAAGAGTTCAGAACTACTACACCAATTAAACTTTCATCACGTTCCGTCTTGATAAGTTAAAATGCGCTGTCAAGAATTGGAATCATAGTTACTAAACGCACGTCCATAATGTTTAAGGATTTCATGAAATTTATATCTTTACTCGATTGCCAATCGGTGTCGGTGTTATATGTGATGGCAGATCTGAGAAGTCCGAAAAGAATGAGTTTGCGGGATTTCTTAACATTTGCAATAATTTTTTAACTACATAACACGCACCAAATATAATATGTAGTTTCCCGATGTTCATACAGTTTGATGCAGAGAGAGAAAATAAATAACAGACCTTATATTTACATTTGATAGCCACGTAAATCATTTAAAAACAAATTAACATATACATAAATCAACGACGATTTCTAATTCTGTTTTACCAGTTGCAGCAGGTGTCACCAATTGGGCGTAATTGACAACGCGAACATCAAGATAGTTTTAAGAGCAAACTATTAAATTGTTGTTTTTATTTACTTTTCGCAGCTACATTTATCAATTAATATTACATCTAAATGTCTTGCATATCTCTTCACATTTAAATCACGTTTAAGTAAATGTTTGGTATGCAAGCAAACATCGCCCATTCACAACCAGTATAGGAAATATGAGGACAGTATATTCTTTTTTTTTTTAAATCGGTCGATGTTATCCATATCTATTTAAAAAAGCTCAATTATAAATCGTATGAAATACGGAAAAAATAACAACCGCGGCCTTTTGAGTATTATAGAGATAATGAAGATGTACTCTCACAAGGATATTACTGACAATCGCTTCAGAGTTGATATGGATCAACATAAAAGCCGTATAAAGAAGGGAGGTTGCTTTATCTGAATAACACGGAGCTTTAAAATGCCTGTCTAATGAATCCGAGAGAATCAAATCAACTACAGGCACTTCCTCATCTTCGGGCTAATCAATAGTCATCATTTTCTTTCTTAGATACCCCAAATGTCTTTGAAGACATTATATATTTGACGTCATTATGTTTGTCTAATTATTAGATGTCATGATCAAATGTTTGTTTAGTATATCAGTGGGTCATTTAGAGAGATAAGTTTTTTTTACCATATTACAACCTTCATCATAAAAAAATCAAAATCTAATCTGGACAATGCACAACGAAATATCGACAAAAGTCACGGCTAACATAGGATATTCTTAAATACATGACAGGACATTCGTCGTTTGTTGATCAAAATATTATGACGCAGTAAGGGAAAAGGTTGAAAAGAAATATACCTTCAAACGTTGCTTCGTCTAACAATGTTCTTAGTGAACTAGAATTATCTGAACTTTTTTGTTTCGAACACTTGACATCTCAGGCATTGACAGAAACAAAGGAATTATAAGATGTTAAAATACACGGTCGCCATAACTGTAGGTGGCCACTTTGGCAGGTTATCCTACATTTGATTCATTCACTTGTCTTCTATTTCTACAACGAAACCTACAGCGGGAAGCTGCATAATAAACACAATGATTTCCATAATTTTCTATTTCTAGAGAGTAACATTTCTGCTTCCCAAACATGTTGTGTTTACCACTATACATGCCAGATTTGATGCGATATTTAAAAGGTTGCCATCTAAGATTTCGCAAGTAGACAAATGATTTCACAGTACAGGATTTCGAGAGATACAGGTGAAGAAGATTCATGAAGGTTTATGGCCGTCACAACGATCACATTGGGAATATCGCGTTTCCTCGTCCGACGTGAAGTTGGGCATGTTCGATATTCCTGATATGCCTGTTGTTGTTTGTAACCTTGTTCTCATTTGGAAGACCTCTGGTGTGATTCTTTTTACATTTTCAGAGGTTTCCGTATTATTTTTTCTTTTGTTCATATTTTGCAATCGTTTCATCGATTTTGAGTCTGAATTAAGATTCGGTTCCAATGTAGGTAGTTTTTTTGCACAACCTATTCTCATACACGTTCGAATATGCTTTTGTTTAGAAGATAACAAATTCTGTTGTAAAACTTGAATTAATGATATTTATTCTAGCGATATGCTTTTGTTTGAGAGAATTCAAATGTTCAATAATGGCCTCAGGCACGGATGCTGCTCTATTGAGGACTCAAAGAATCAGTTACAAGCTAAGTTAATTTCATTAAGGGAGATGTGTTTTCAGGTACTCTATGATATCACAGTCGTTAGATATGCAGGTTGATTAAGAATATAGTGGAAGTTCTATGGTCATTAATATGGTCTCAATGGGACGTATACTATTTGCTCATGTGGTAGAAAGTGAAATATTTTCAATGCATGCTAGTATATCTGGTGGTTTCATTAATATTAACCTTATTCTATTCTCTTGACGCGATATGACCTTTTCAGATCAACTTAAACATGCTGGAATTAAGATTATTTTGACATGTTGATATGTCTTTAAATTTCATTTACGGATGACCATGCAAATGTGCACTTTGAAATTCAAATTTTATCGGAACAATATACTGATGGAAAAAATAATAAACAAACCTCTTACCGTGATATGCAATTACCTTAATTAATTCACCAACAATATTAGCGCAAAAATAGCAGCTAATATGAAACGCATTGTCGATGTTGAGCTTCGAATTTACGTGTTTTACCGACCTTTCCATGGCCTGTAAAATGATAAAATGTACACTTTTGACGATGAACACGATATGCAATTACATTAACTGTCATCGTACACTATAAACTGTACCCAATTCATTAAACAAATTGCAGATATTAGCCAAAAATTCCATGCGATATCATTAATGTTTCCATGGCCAGTCATCGTATTAATCTTTTCCAGAGTTGTCGTTCCTTACAGGAGGTACCGCAATGCACTTTTACATGCATCACAATATGAACTACGTCCAATTCATTATACAAATGGAAAATATCTTTTTTTCATGTCATGTTGTCTCTTGTTATCATCAGGATAATCCATCCTATTTTCTAACATGCATTAATCTAAAATATCATTTCATCAACAATTTTAAAAATTAAACTTCTAAAACACTGAGAAAACGTGTTTTCGGAGATCAAGTGAACTGGAACAAATCGTCACTTACATAATTAGAAAAAACATTTGTTATCTTTACAATGTATTCATACAAATTTATCAATGTAGCGCAACAAAGTTCTTTATTGAGTTCAAAATCGGATCTTTATTTTTGCAGCATATTTTCTGTTATATATAGACATCCCGAGGAAGATAATAGTGGTGTCTAATTTCGAGATTTACATTATAAACTAGCTTATGATATTCTAAGTAGATTAAGGACAAAATACTGACTACACCAATATCGGACGGGAAAAAAACCAGTTAAAACAAAACATTTAAACCATGCTCCAGAAACGCCAAATCATACTGTTTTTTGTTTGCAATCTAATTTTACAAAGTGGCGTAACTCTGTCCTCTTTAGAACCATGTATAACGTAAATACGTTTTCATAGTTGCAAGTTGTAAACAATATCAGTGTGTATGATGAGTTATTCCATAAACATGAACGTTTTGGTTTTAAGTTCATCCATATGATAATTTTCTATTTTTCTTTTCCCAGATTGTTTGAGACCAACGAAGAATTAAAGAGTTATTTCGTTGATGTTTCTAAATATACGACAATATCGGACATAAGGACAAACTCAAGATTTGAAAGCCATGCAGTGATGGTTATGCATATTATTGATGACGCAATGTCTAATTTGGACGACATCACTAGCGTTGAAAGTCTTTTGTTAAACGTTGGAGAATCTCATACGAGACTGTCTTGGTTCAAATCATTCTATTTTTGGGTAAGTTTATTGTATTTTTATGATTTTATCTGATTTCCGCCATCCATTACATAAAATTTGGAATATATTAAACAATTGGTTTTTGAAAAAGAACATTTCTTTTAATTAATGATCTTTTTTAAAAAGAAAATTATGTTTTCTATGATGGATTAAAGTGAGTTTTCTGAGAAGAGTTATTTTCACCTCTAATCCAGTTATGGAGTAAACTTGAGTAGAATATGAAAAACTTACAAAAAATAAAAAAAGCAGATGTCAAGTTTACGACCTCCACGAAAAATAAATTTTGTGTGTTTCAAGCGTTTGATAAATCGCAAACGGCTGATTTATAGTGCAAGAGACACACAAGCCCAATCACCTGACCACTAAAGCTAGATTGCAAAAAGATTAAAATACAACTATAGAGATATGATATTAATGTGGTTAGTAAAAATCGGATATCCGATGATAAAAATGGAATTATCAGTCCTCCACCTCTTCTTTAAATGAGGAATTATGACATATTGAGACCTTTGATTTTTATGCATACTACAACAATTGTTTTCCATTTGGTCTTTCCCTAACCAGAAACTGGAGGAACCATTTCTGCTAGCGGTTCGTGAGACACTCGGAGATCGTTACTCGGCCAACATGGAGAGCAACTATAAGAAGGCAATACATTTTATACTGACGCTCCTGGAATATGGATTTAACAAGAAAACATCATCTCTTGATGGTCCACAGTCACCGTTTTAAGATTCTATAATATTCATCATCTACAGCATTATTATATACATTAGTTAATGTAACAATTATATACAAGTTCCTCATCCCTCTCATCCCCAGCAGCTGGTGACAATGGGAGTCAGGTGTTTCCGTTGCATGAACAATATTCGTTAACTGTAAGAAACAGATTAGTCTAGAGTAAGTTCAGATTTCAAAATTATATGGAAAACAAAACCTAATCTGGTATTGGAAGGTATTTTTCACATGAATTGGCCTTTTGTACTATCATTATATAGTATAAGTGACGATAGAAATGCTGGATTTCAAAAGTGGTGAAGTGCGACCTTTGACATTAAATACTTTGCTGTGAACATGAAATATGAGAATTGATATCATGAATATTTAACAACAAAGGTATACACGTCTTATCCGATGAGGTATAAGTAAAATAACGACACCTTAAGAAGACATTTTTGTATCTCTTTAAAATGTACAATGTACACTTACTCTGAAGTATTCAAATGTAACCATTTTCTTTGTTTTTGCTTGTTTTGTGCTTAATTGTTGTTCGAAAACCACCACTAAATCCTCACACGCATTAACCATATGAAAGAAACTGATCTGTGCACTCCGGATCAATATGCAGTAAAAATGATTTTGTTGTTATGGAGCAATCAATAACGCTTATGATTTCAAAAATACATGGAATATATATGGAATTCATGATTTGCCTAATGCAGGTTAAAATGTTGCCCAGTTTTGATACCGCCTCCAAACGATAGAAGATATAAAGCCGTGGTGAAAGTTTTCATTTCATTTTAATAAAATAGATTTATGTATATGTATTTGTTGTTTATAATTCGAACAAATGACACATGTAATTACCTAATTACTTATCAAAACTAATTACAAGATACTTTTCACTGAAAATGTTGTATCTACGGTGAAAAGGAAGGAGAAAGAAAAGAAATGTACATTTCCTCGACAAGGGGTATATTATGTTGTGTGTATATACATACATATGTATTACAGATGCATGCGGTATCACTGAGGTTGTTTATACATGAATCACCATGACAACCAAGTCTATAAGCTAGTAATTTAGTTTCGTATTCCTCTTCACTGCACGCGCTCGCTAGCTGCTGTGTATGAGCTGCTGCCTGAAACACGATCTACTCCAACTCCAAATCAGGCATCTGTCATTCTGTACCACTCCTCAGTGGATGGTAGTACTAATCGTAGTACCAAAGTTTAATAACTAGCTCTTCATCGGATTATCTGTAGTTAACGAAGCTAAGGAGTGAAATCAGTTTGCACGTGTAACGATAATATCTACATTACTGCCATTATGATGTCCAGTTTGCTTATTCTTCAAACTATTCTGCTGCTATGCGCACCGTTGACCATGGGGCAGGCGGTGAGTATTTTGCATGCCATATGGAATGAATACAGTAGATAAGGTATATAAATAAGCAGTTTTACATCCTTAATGACAATGATAATATTTTTCAATTAATGTCGTTAGGCACGTCCTTTAGCACATATTTAGCATTCCTGTCTGTCTTTGAAGTATTCAAAGGTCTATCATGTGTATCAAAACAGCTTTATTACTATGCATTATCCTCAGTGTGCCACTATACAAACGTGTAATAGAGGTACTCTTCATCATGTGATTATATCTTTGACCCGTCAAAATTTCTGTCAACAGACGTTTGTATGACTGTTGTAAACTACTTATCGTCAATGTTATAACACACGTATTTATCGGATATGTCATCAGTAGCTCTCTGATGTAACTGTAATATGGGCTCACTTATAAACACTGCTGAGGATGAGTATGCTATTGACATTTCAGTGTTAGAAGGAATTCCACAGTTTATATACGCAATAAACACGCTTTACAAAACACCAGAACACCTTAACCTTGCTATCAGTGTATTCCTAATTACAATGTTCACTAAAAATAAAAATATACCACTTTGATCTTGACATAACTCACAAAGTAATAATAAGCTACAGTTTACACAGTGTACTACAGTGCATCTATAACATTCCTTTTATCATTATTTCGACTTTTATAGAAATTAAACTGCGAAGATTGTCATTCAGTAAAGTATGTTTATCATATAATCCGCATGACATCGAGTAAATTCGTTCAAGCTCTATTTTTGGATAAGTCATTAGTGTATATATCCTTTAATCGGCGTAGTCAGAAATCGGTACTATTCAAAATGACACAACAAATTGGCTGCCTTCGTTTGATTTTTTCCTTTACATTTTTAAATCTATCAAAATATAACTTTTCAGAGCTATGTGATAAAACAGTATAATGCAATATGTACGTTTATATTATATCAGTCGACAGCGTAGTCTAAGACGAAGCGTTATCGCATGCATAAAACGATTTTTTAATGTCTTTGGTTCATTGGTCATCACTTTTGTCATATCCCACCAGAAACTTGTATCAAACGTAACAGTGATTGATACATAATTCTATAACGTTTGGCAGATCAATACTGAATCAACGACAAATGGTGATGACACTCTTGGTCAGACATTGTCACCACTCATCAACTGCATCTCTGCGAGGCCGGTAAACGCCACGTGACCACACAAGACTCAATTACATGTATGAATTAATGCAATATATCACCTGCCTTCGCTTTACGGAGAAAATACGCAACTAAGTGACAACACATTTCTGTTTCCATGGTAACATAATTGGTTGCAATAGTAGTGGTCAATGTCTTGAAACCCTCATATACGGTGGCATATGACCATGAATACAGATATTCATACGTTAAACCGTCATGTGATATTTGTTTACATGCTATTTGGGTAGAATTTAGGCATATCTTTGGTAAGTTAGAGACGAGGACATAAAACATTCAATATACAAATCCGCCATTTTTATTTACTTTTATTCATGATATCATTCATAACAGCAAAAGGTATTCTATACAACGCAAAAGAGAACACGGCCGATACAGCACCTGTTACGTTCCGTAGGACGCGTACACACATGTAAGTATTCATCAACTGGTCTAATTATTGAGGTTCCTTCATGGTGGTAAAGTGGAGATTCAGCCGCACTGTCAGCAGTGGAGGATACACTGCTAGATAATGCTAGCTCTTATAATGCTATCATAAACATCATCAAAGTATGTTGTCCAGATTATCGACACCGCTGGGAATTTCCGATAGCTTCAGCAGCGTGTCTTCATCCTCTATACGTCTTTAGGTGAGGATCATATATTTCAATTTGAAGAAAACGAATGTGTCTATTTACGTGTTAGACGTGGTCCATTATAACTGTATCAGAACTGTGATTCACTCTAAAACGTTTTCTAACAAAGTTATAGACGCTAGACACACAAATGTATCGATTGTCACCTCGGTGAATTCTCCATGAAGTTCCAGAAACAAATTATAAAGGATCACTGTAGTAGTTATCCAAATAAATTAATGTCACCTTTGTAATGAGTTTACACGCTTTGAAAAGAGATATAAATCGGTAATATTTCGTTCTAAAAACATTTTGTCAAAGTGCATATACTCAAATAACAACCTCTTAATCTCGTACCAATGCGACGTCACAATATTCGTTAATTGTGTTAGTGTTTGAGAAAATAAAAAAAATAGTTTCTTCTAGTGATGTACTGAACTAAATGTACAAATTGAACATCCACAAATAAATCATGACAAGCAAACACAGAATAAATCCTAATTATGCATACTTTTTTCAAATGCCAAGAAGGAATGGATCGGTAGAATGGTTGCTGGAATTCACATATATGTAACTTGTGTAATATCTTAATGATAGCGGGGGCTAGGTGATAAACCCAGACATAATCAGAGATAGAGGAATGTAGTAGGATTTTTATTTTGGTTCGTTGGAAGGCGTAATAGATTTTAGATTGCCTAAGCGCTGCATTTCAGATGGTGCAATTCCTTTATCTAGACCTGATTTAGATGAGCATCTCTATTTCGTTTCGTTTATGTTCCAATCTGTAATTTCTACATGGTTTAAAACCAAATCCTAACCATGCCTTTCATTTTGATGACTTCTGAATATATATAAATTTAGAACCAGTAATGAAGCAAAGACAGTTTTTTGGTATTCAATGACCTTCGTGTGATTTCTTAGTTCAATTCGTATAGTGCTTTATAGCTGATAGCAATACTCAATCCCTTTCCTAGTGCATTGCAGTACCCTACATAACATGTATCGTGACTGTAAGGAACGACAACTCTGTTAGAGAATGGGCAATAGTGCTATCGGAAACAACCACAATGCAAATAGAGAAAATGGATACCAGATAGTCGTTTGAACGACACCTTGTTGAAGTTCTAGTTGAAATGCATAGAATTGCTAACACATTTCATCTCCCTAGTAGGTTAGACAGTAGCAATTGTTATGGGTACTTTTTCCAGCTTAAAGTTCTACCAAATCGAACTATTCTTCAGTGACAGGTTTGTGTTCATATGTTGTATATGTATTTATATAACGGCGACCAGTCATATTGAATGAAAACGAAATGTTATGCTTCTTTTCAGACCATGTTGATTTCAGAAGACGTGGCCAGTTAATTTAAGATGATACATGTGATAGATTTCTTGTCCAAATGTACATTTTCTGCATAAACGATTTTCTGTACATACTTCAAATAGAATATGAAAGATGTTATGTTGAAAGGGCTGTAGGAAACAAAAGCCCTTCATATTTCAAATTGAACATAGTCGATGCTCTTTGTTTAATCATCTTGGATTATGTTGACATGTTGGTATTTTCTGGATGCTTTTGGTAGTTTCGTTCTTACAAACCCTTTTAAAACACATGGTTTTAATCTCACTGTATTTATTCAAATTACATTTTTCTTCTGTTCCTCGTTTAACTGATTTGGAGTATGAATGCTTGAACGTTAATGTAGAATACGTATATATCGACACATTGAAACAGAAGAGTAGCTGATACAACATGATATGCTAGAATAACATTTTTATTGATCAAACAACTTCTAAAGTTGAAACATTTCAGTAATTAAAATTCAGCTTATGATAAAATATACATGTATTCATTTTGCTTGCTCTATATACCATTCTATGTTTCATTAGTTTGATAACCATTCAAATACAACTATAGGAAACGTGACCTCCTTTCCATATATATCTTTATATATTGGACGAACGATGTCAGAATCCGCCTATTATCCAAAGATTCCTCACATTTTTCAAATTACACAGAGTACAATAAAAACCCAACCATCCCACAAATAATCGCAAAAATTTGCAAGAAACTCAATGCTGGCTCAAAACCTGATTAATTTGATTCAGGATTTCAGTGTTTCCACTATTCATGGTTGTTCAACAATATACATTGAATTAATATCATTGACAACATTAAAAAAAAAAAAAAAAAACACGCATATGAATTTACATACCGGAAAAAGAAACCACGAAATTTGGTAGTTAAGCTAACAAACCATGATAAATTATACCCCATTATCTTTTACTGCTGCCGAGATATATTTGTTTGCATATTATATACACATAACGTCAGATTTGAATATATCTATAAATATCTACTACCAGATAAGATATGTATTTATAGAACATTTCCCTAAAGCGTAAAGTTACATGATGCATAAATAATGCTGGGAGTATCTTCAGTGCAATTCCCAACTGGGGATTCGTTTGGCTTGATCCCAAAAGAACATAAAACCGCCAGGATAAACGCGTGCGTTTGTTGATCTTCAGAAACACAATTCACTGACATTAGATATCATAAAGATGTACTATTGCAGGTTTCTGGAGCCCTGTGTTAAAGCAAGGTTGCTTTCAGTTTGTCGGTAGACAATACTATATGTTTTTATTCTTTTGCATATAAAGACAAATTTATAGTGAAAGTATACATAATAACTGCGTACAAAGCTTTTTGCTATTTTCATGTCTAGGTTCGATGTCAAAAATGGGCTTCCTCACAGTCAGCTATATATTTCAGTATACCCATGACACGTATTCTACATTGTCGTTTCTCTTTTCTTTGTTAATTTATCTATCATAAACGCTGTTTTCATGCACTTACAACCGTAGATAACTCAAATTCTTCCAGAACACCAGATCTTGTTTAGAAGTCTCCATCCTTGTAGAACTTTCCCTAGTTCATATTTAGCCTCAGTTTCACGTGATTTGTGTTTGGATTAAAATTCTATTGACATGTTGATTTTTCTTCGTGGGTTTTTGAGACATTTCTTTAATTGTTAAAGATTTATATAACAGGTGTTATCAATTAATCATAAGACGCTTTTCCTTTCGGAACATAAAATTTAAGTTTGTCTTGATTTCCGTGTATTTTTTAAGTGCAGGAGGATTGAGTAAAATATGAACATATTGCAATAGAAGTATAATTGATATATA